AGCACATGACTGGACAGCCCTCTCACACAGTCATGTGCACTGAAGCACCTGGGAGTTTGTTCAGATGCAGAGTGTGATGGAGTGGGGCCGGGGCGGAGCCTAGGAGTTTGCTTTTCTGCTGCCGATGCCACTGGGTCCTGGACCACACACTGGACAGAGATGGTTGAGCATAAACCTTTGTCTTAGATGCTGGGCTCATGGGGAATTTAAAATCCTGATCCTCTGCCCTTCGAGGGTTTTAGTCTCATGAAGAGAGATTAATGCTCAGGACACGATGAGACCACAGCTAAGTGTCAGGAATGTGTGACCGTGGGAGTTTAGACAGGAGGGGAAGGAGGCTTCGCATCTGGACTTGAAGCTGTGAGACTGGAAATTCCTTACTAGTCCCAGCAGACAGAAAGGGCGTTGTAGGCATGTGTGTGAGCAGACGGCTTGGGTAAAGGCGCGAGCTGGCCACCTATACTAGCCATGGCGCCTGTAACGATGACAGCAAAGCGAGCACGAGGGTCCATCTGCTATCGGACCTGATTTATGAGCTCAATCCAGTGCTCTGCGCTTTCAGGAACCGGGAGAGCTCCTTGCAAGAATGGGTCAAGGGAGACTGGGGTGACAATGGGTGACTGACAGGAGTCAGCTGATCTAGTTAAAATCCATGGCCCAGATCTGTTCAGTGCCCATAGAATCTGTTTGGGATCCTAAGTGATTCTGAAGGATTTCTTAAACTTTTTTTTTTAGAAGGTTACGTAGATTTTTAGTCCTTCTTTATGTGCAATGTTTCTAGACAACCCACACATCTTGAACACTCTTGAAAAATCCTTCCGAACATCCATGATGCTAATTAAAAGGCAGCCTCGGGTGTCGGTCAGGGAGGTGCGGAGCTTAGTGTTTGGAGTGTAGGCTTCTGACTGGAGTCTTTCAAGTGGTAACCAGCTGTGCCTGCAGGGTATGTATTCCCAATTAGGGTCCCGCTGGTGCTAACTCACCGCACCCAGCAAGGCGAGTAAAACTAACACATGTGCACTACTCGTCTGCACTGGGGAATTTCGAATCACACACAGTATAACAGGAAGGCGTGATGATTTCAAGCTTTTACATGTTCTTAAATTATACGAGCAATGCACACTCCTTGTATAAAATTTAGGAAAATATATAATCACAGGATTGAAATGACTCATATTCTACCCAGAGAGAGAACTCTCAGTTCTTACACCTTTTCCATATCTGTGGTTATGGAGATACTTATACATGTACTAGAGGCCCGGTGTATGGAATTCATGCACTGAAGGGCCCCTCAACCTGGCCTGCATCCTCTCGCAGTCTGGGACCCCTTGGGAGATGTCCAACTGACGGCTTAGGCCTGCTGGCTGCGGGGAGTGGCCTAAGTTGGCAGTCGGACATCCTTAGTGCTGCTGCGGAGGCAGGAGAGGCTCCCGCCACTGCTGCTGTGCTTGCCAACCGTGAGCCCAGCTCAGGGCTTCTGGCTGAGCAGCGTGAGTGCACTGACCACCAGGCGGCAGCTACTGCATTGAGTGTCTTCCCCCTGGTGGTCAGTGTGCATCATAGCGACCTGTCGTTCTGCCATTCGGTTGATTTGCATATTAGCCTTTTATTATATAGAACAAGGGTCCTCAAACTTTTTAAAGAGGGGGCCAGTTCACTCTCCCTCAGACCATTGGAGGGCCAGACTATAGTTTAAAAAGAAAAACTATGAACAAATTCCTGTGCACACTGCACATATCTTATTTTGAAGTAAAAAAACAAAACGGAACAAATACAGTATTTGTATTTGCATGTGGCCGCGGGCTGTAGTTTGAGGACCCCTGGTATAGGATGTACAGTTTTTCACACTGGGCTGAGGATACTTGCAGTCATAGTTTGTGTTCAGCTCTGAATCCTCCTTTTGTGGCTTAAGAGAGGTCATGATCATTTTTCTGGCTCATGCAGTGTTCTCTATAAATGTGACGTTTGTTGGTTCAGACATGGGAGGAGACAGGTGGAGTAGATGTTTAGGAGGAGGAATCGACCAGCTTGGTCAAGAAGCTGTATGTTGGATTTGAGGGGGGCTTGGTTAGCGATGACTTTGAAACCCCTGGGTTAACTGCCAGGTGGGCAGTCTCCCTTCCACCGGGTAAGGCAGGTTAGAGACGGGTGTTCCTAGGCCATTTGCACACGTGTGGGATGCAGTTTCTTTCCTCTCTTCTTCTTGTGTTGATGCCTGTATTGACTTCCTGGAGAAACTTCTGATAAATACGGAAGTTTTTCTTTAAAATGTGTCTTTAGAGCACAGAGGTGCCATTTAAAAGTCAAATCCATGAAGAACTATTTTTTCACCTGCTGAGTTTAATTTCAGGTGCCAGCGTTATCATAAAATGCAAGCCAACCTTGACTCTGTTTTAAAACTTTACATAAATTGTGCGAGTTGAAACGAACGTGTGCAGATGGAGAGAGGAAAGGGAGGAAAATAAGTGGTTTAAGGAGTCTTTAAAAATATTATTTAAATATCAGTGCCACTTGAGTTCCGTTTTAAGTATATCCCTACTTTCCCCTGAGGTGTAAATTCATCTATAGCTTTCTGATTGTATTTCTATCTATTCAACTTTACTGTCCCTTGGAACAGGAGCAGACATCGGTGATATATCTGACTCTGGGGAAGGAAATACTTATAAGATGCATATAAAGGATTGAGGTTAGATCAAAAGGAAGATGCCCCTGGAAGGAGTCAATTTCTTAGGGAGAACAGAGCCGCTACCCCTCTGGCCCCCATCCCTGCCTTAGGTGTGTATAACCTTTGGCCCATTAATTAATCTTTTTGGCCTTAGTTTTCCTATCCATAAAATGGGGATAAAAAATAAGTTCTTTTGAGAATTAAATTAAAAAAACTAGAAAAATGCTTTATACATAATAAGTGCTACTACTGCTCGTTGTCTTTATTCTTATAAGTGAACTGTTTAAAAAAACCCCACACAAACCATGTGATCTTAATGGGTGGTAACTCCTGAAGGAGAATTGCGTAGATAGGTTTTTCAGGTTAAATCAGCCACTTGGCTGGTCAGTCAGTACCTACCTGCTGCGATCTGTTTTCTACCAAACCCTGTGTGGGGAGCATGGCGGGTGGGGGAGAGAGAGAAAAGCACAAGGAAGACTGCTCTTGGGTTCTTAGGAAGATGGGGTTCCCTGCCAAGTGCTTGATGGGGCTTTGCCAGTCGCTCAAGGGATTTCTTATTTCAGCCTCATAACCATCCGCTCAGATTGAGGGCGTCTCTTCGCTGTATATGAATGAATGAAACAAAGCTTACCCCGGGGCCAGGTCATCGTGTGGTGCTGGGTTTGAATCCAGATGCCTCACTCACAGCTTTCTGCCCCCAACACGCCCTCTCCTGAGATCACCAGCCTTTCCCGATGATGCTCCTTCTTAGCGGAGATGCTCATTCTTAGTGACCAGCGAGGTTTGTTTGTGGGGTTTGTTTCTCCTTCTCCCCTGGGGCACTTTTCTGCAGTCAGCATCTTGGTTTAAAGGGATTTTCTTCTATTGGCTTTCCTTTCTTGTGCTCACCCTCCAGCCCTGTGGCCTTTCATCTGCTTCAAACATTTAGAAAAGGGTCAGAGAGGTTGCAGAAGACAGCCTGGCCCCTGACGTGGAGATGGGCCCCGTGAGGTGTTTATTGCCAGCGACTTGCTGAACACAAAGTCCTGAAGCTCGGGAGGGTCGCCTTTGGTGAGAATCGGATTCCATTTATTCGTTCAGCAGACAGTTATCAGGCACCTGAAAGTGACGGACAGGACGCTCGCTACATCTTAGAGATGCTGGTGAATCCGATGGGCTGCCTGTCTTCTGGAAAGACCACGGCTGGTGGGGAAGGGAGATGGTTCACCCAGACCCTTGTCACATGGGGTTTGAGAGTCCTGGCAGAGGGAAGGACCTTGTGGGAGTACCTAAGGGACACCATTCCTTGGGAATCTGCAGCCTTATATGGAGCTGCCTGTAGCCTGGGCTCTGCTCTGTCAGGCAGTTTCCCCGTGGACCTCTCTCTCCACCGACAGCCCATGTGACATCTGTGTTAGGAGGTGATGGAGATGGGATCTCATGGTCTGTTGGGTTTTTAATTCCCTTTTAGGTCACATAAGTTTCTGGTTATATACTCAGGTGAGAGGTCGTGTCCTCTACTCCATCAGTGTCGGCCTTCTCCCTCCTCTGTTCCTCGCATTTCAACAGTTTTCCGCGTGGTCTGGGGATTGTCCCTCTGCAGACGGCTGTAGGTCATCTCCATGCTCCTTCCCATTCTCTGCACATCTGCATTGTCGTCCCTGCTTTTCTGGGCTCTTCTTCCATTTAAAGATGAGTGCGTGTGGGCTTTCCACGCTGATGGAGATCTCGTGGCCTTGCCAGTCTCCTTTCCTGTGTGTGTGTGTGGTCAGCCTTGTGTGCCTTCCACTGGGCTCTCTGCTGGGAACACGGGACCTGTTTCACCCTCCTGGCCACACACGGAAGTGGTCAGCAGCTGCCTCATCCTCCCTGGAGGTGCCTGCCGCCCCCCCTCCCCCCCCAGCCGTCACAAGCTCAGGGTGTCTGTGGGTCTTTTATGCTGCCTCTCCTGTTAGACGGTGCTCTTTGACGCCAACCCTCATTCTACTTTTTCAAAACACAGCACCTGGCTAGTGCGTGGTATCTACAAGGTGCTCACTGAGTGCTCGTGTAATGAGTGTGTTAGTTCAGGCTTCAGAAGTAACCCATAGTTGAAATGCATGTGTGTGTAAGGGGGAGAGAGAGAGAGAGAGAGAGAGAGAGAGAGAGAGAGAGAGAGAGCGCCCTTATCCTTTATTCGTTTATTTTCTAAAGAACTGTCTCCGCTTTGATAGATGGCAAGGGTGCAGCAGCGTCCCTCGGGAATACGGGTTAGCAGGAAGCTGTAGCCGAGTCCTCCTCCTCCCGGGATCTACAGCATGTTCTCTCTGCAATCTGCATCCACTTACAGCCCTTCCCCTCTGCTCTTCCTTCACAGGGAGTATTATGAGGGAGGCCGAGGACTCCACGCTCCGGGCAGAGAAACGGCTCTGGGATTAGGGATTGCCACTTCCGAGAGGATGCTGGGAATCTGCAGGGGGAGACGGAAATTCCTGGCTGCCTCGTTGACTCTTCTCTGCATCCCAGCCATCACCTGGCTCTACCTGTTTGCCGGGAGCTTCGAAGGTAAGAAGGAAGCTGTCGCAGAAAAAGGGGCTGGGCGGGGGGAGAAGAACGCTGGCTGTCCCAGCGTCCCAGGGAGAGCCGCCCAGCCGTCTGATCCCAGCAGGTCATTTTGTAGAAGCGAATACCCGTACCCGTCACAGGGGAAGGCTTGTCTAGGTCGATGGAGGGAGTCAGGAATGTGAGGAGAAACAGACACAACAGCAAGATCAGGTGCAGCTGGGCGCAGTGGCATGGAGGTGACACAAATGTCAAACACCCGCTTTGCGAGTGGATCGCTGTGTTGGTGACGGGCAAGGCTGGGCCCTGGACGGATGACTTAGCTGTTCATGGTGCCAGATGTTTTATTCTTTCTTCCGTCTCTTCATTCACGTGTTCACATGTTCGACATTTGTTATTCCTGTCGCTGCTGCTCTGGTTTCCATCTGGCTAGACCAGGTGCTGGACGTGCGGTGATAACACATCTGGACCTTCACGGCTCAGTGGGGGAGACGGGCGGGTGGACACACACATGCTTGCTGCACAGGCTGTGCGTGGTGGGAGGAGGCAAGCCCAGCCCAGGGGGCTGCGGGAGGCGGGTGTCGGAGCTGTCGGCCGGCCTTGGGGGAGGGATGATCCGTCATCTGATGGCCCAGGACAGGACCGCCACAGAGGCTGGACCCTCCCCAAACAAACAGAAACGCACGCTAATCCCTGCCATTTTCAGAAATCATTAGCAATGGCAAGACTTGCCATTCTCCCAGCCAGTGGTTTCAAAGGCTGTGCGTTGTGTATCCGAGGAGGTTTTCCAAGCTTGGGGAGGAAAGGCGTGGCGGCGTTGGCGAGCGCAGCTTTTTTCTGTTTACCCCCACACTCGAGTTAAAAGGGAAAAATTAACTCAAAGGAAAATCTGACTCGAGGAAGTCAAGTACTGTGTTTTTAAACATGTTCTTTATGCATAATTTTATTGACAGCTCAAGGCTACCTTTTAATTAGGAGTTGCACTTCACTTTCCGAGATGTGCCCCGAGTGAGCCAGACTGAATGTAAAGGAGGCGGGATTGAGTGCGGGCATGGGAGGGAAGGGTCCCAAGCCACACCCCTACCCCGCGCCTGCCCCTCCCTGCCCCTGCGTCCCTGCAGGTGGTGGAGCTTTCATGTAAGGGGCTGGAGAGAAGGAATTACGCCAGGGCGGTGTGGATGGATAATTTTCCTTAAAGGGATCGGAGGGTGGAAGGTGAGCTGGTGATAAGCCTAGGAGAGATATAAGGAAGAGTTTTTCTAGGAGTGATGGAGGAGCCCTGATAAAACAAGGCTATGAAGGGCTGGCACCTGACTCTGTTTAATACATTAAAACATTGACTTTCATCGTACAACTAGATTGCTAATAATTCTATATAATAAAAGGCTAATATGCAAGTTGTCCCCTCAACTGGGAGTTCAACCAGGGAGTGAGGCCAACCACCCACTGCCCCTCCTCCCTGCCAGCCCGGCCAGAGCGGTCCCAATTGGGGCTGGCCGGCTGGATCCCACCCATGCATGAATTCGCGCACCGGGCCTCTAGTAATACTGTAACAATAACGAGGATGATGGCAACAATATAAGCTATTAGTTTTCTGAGCATTTCTACCTGCCAGGCATTGTTGTTAAGACTTGACGCGTTAGGATTTTTTCGCAAGAATCCTGTGTAATAGGTAGGGATGAGGCGACAGGGCCCCAAAAGCCAGTCAAGATAGGCCCTGGATTATTGGACTCGAGAGCTGGAGTGTTTAACTCTAAAACCATGTTGTAGTTGGGGCCTCAGTGAGGCAGCAGACTTTGGCAAGGGGTTTGACAGGGTGTCACATGACGTTTCTAGGTGCTGTGAGGGAAATTGCAGAATTTTTATTTGCACTCATCATAGAAACTCAACCCTAAAAGGTTTGGGCAAACAGGGAATTTGGGGGCTAACAAAACTTGTAAGTTCAGAGGTAGAGCAGGCTCCAGGTAGGGTTGGATCCAGGGGCTCAAGTGATATCTGTGTAGCTCAGTCTCTCTTCATCCCTTTGCTCTGCTTTCCTCTTCTGTGGTTTCTTTCAGGGTAGTTTTTCCTACGTGAAGAAAGCTTTATTTATGACTTATCCTCTGCAGACCCTATAGAAAGAGGAGTTCTCCCCCTCCCAACTCTCCAGGCTTGCCCCTGATTGGATTGCCTCTAGTTGCTTGTCCAGAGACCAGTCACTGACTGGGGAGGCTGGGGATGGCAGCCCCGAGCCCTGTGCCTGTTTCTGGTCATGGGGTAGCGAGGAGTTTCCCTGAGGAAGGGGTGGCCCCAAAGGCGAACGGTATGTTTTCTCGGAGGAGAGAATAGAAGCTGGTCTACATTAGGAGTGTTCATGACTGGCTGTGCTTCTGGTGTGCTGATGTCCACCTGAAGACTCTTCCCAGCATCATGCTGTCTTTCCCCCGCTGGCTGGTGGGGTGACTGTGATCCTTGACGCTGAGTGATTTTATTAGCCTGGCAGGTAGGTTACAGGGAGGATTGAGGAAATACTCTGCAACCACACACACCGACTGGGGTAGGCACTGTGCCTATAACCGTGAAGCTTAAGAAGTCCTACCTTGGGACCCAAGCAGAAGCTGCTGTAAGTCGGGGGTGGGTGATTGTGTACATTAACAGACATGTTCTAGCTAGAATGGTAGAGGTGACAGATTTCTTTACAGGTAGCAGCCCACAGCGGGGCCACGGCATTTGTTTCCTGATGCTGTACTGTCAGAACGGTCTAGGTATGGCCGCACATTCAGGCGAATCGAGGTGAATGATTGTGCCGATTCAAGCCTGGCTCCACTAGACACAGTGGGAAGAATTGAGGCTGTTTACCTTGGAGAAGTGGAGGCTCCGGGTGTGTGTGTCAGCTTCAGCAAACAGTCAAAGAGCTGTCACCTGCCAGAGGTCAGGATGACTCTGATGGCCCTGAACCCCTGGAGGGGTGTGGCAGGGAGCCCGGAGTCCAGCTTATCATAATGAGGATCATTCTGTCCTCTGCTGGCCTCAGCTGCCCTGGGAGGAGTGAAATGCATGCCATGAGGCGTGTGCAAACACGAGGCAGTACAGGGGAGGGAGTGAGCATGGGGGACAGCTGGGCAGGATGACCTGGGGGGAGGGAATGAGCATGGGGGACAGTAGGATAGGAGGACCTGGCCCGGAGTCCAGCTTATCATAATGAGGATCATTCTGTCCTCTGCTGGCCTCAGCTGCCCTGGGAGGAGTGAAATGCATGCCATGAGGCGTGTGCAAACACGAGGCAGTAAGGCAGTAGGAGTGAGCATGGGGGACAGCTGGGCAGGATGACCTGGGGGGAGGGAATGAGCATGGGGGACAGTAGGATAGGAGGACCTGGGGGGGGGGGTGAGCATGGGGGCGAGG